CAGCAGCAAAGCAGCAGCAGCAAAGCAGCAGCAGCAAAGCAGCAGCACAGGCAGCAGCAAAGCAGCAAAGCAGCAAAGGCAGCAGCAGCAAAGGCAGCAGCAGCAAAGCAGCAGCAAAGGCAGCAGCAAAGCAGCAGCAGCAAAGCAGCAAAGGCAGCAGCAAAGCAGCAAAGGCAGCAGCAGCAGCAGCAGCAGCTACCAAGCAGCTACCAAGCAGCAGCTACCAAGCAGCAGCTACCAAGCAGCAGCAGCAGCAGCAGCTACCAAGCAGCAGCTACCAAGCAGCAGCAGCAGCAGCAGCAGCAGCAGCTACCAAGCAGCAGCAGCAGCAGCTGCAGCAGCAGCAGCTACCAAGCAGCAGCAGCAGCAGCAGAAGAAGCAGCAGCAAAGAAGCAGCAGCAAAGCAGCAGCAAAGCAGCAAAGCAGCAGCAAAGCAGCAGCAAAGCAGCAGCAAAGCAGCAGCAGCAAAGCAGCAGCAAAGGCAGCAGCAAAGCAGCAGCAGCAAAGCAGCAGCAGCAAAGCAGCAAAGGCAGCAGCAAAGCAGCTGCAAAGGCAGCAGCAAACCAGCAGCAGCAAAGCAGCAAAGGCAGCAGCAGCAGCAGCAGCAAAGGCAGCAGCAAAGCAGCAAAGGCAGCAGCAGCAGCAGCAGCAAAGCAGCAGCAAAGGCAGCAGCAAAGCAGCAGCAAAGGCAGCGCAGCAGCAAAGCAGCAGCAGCAAAGCAGCAAAGGCAGCAGAAAAGCAGCAGCAGCAAAGCAGCAAAGGCAGCAGCAAAGCAGCAGCAGCAAAGCAGCAAAGGCAGCAGCAGCAGCAGCAGCAAAGCAGCAAAGGCAGCAGCAAAGCAGCAGCAAAGGCAGCAGCAAAGCAGCAAAGCAGCAAAGGCAGCAGCAGCAGCAGCAAAGGCAGCAGCAAAGAAGCAAAGCAGCAAAGGCAGCAGCAGCAGCAGCAAAGGCAGCAGCAGCAGCAAAGGCAGCAGCAGCAGTGTTGCGTTGCAACAAGTGCAGCAACCCTGAACCGCATGAATGGCATCAGCCGTACCATGACACGAGTTGGGGCAGCGTGACAATTGTTTTGTTAAAATAAGATGCACAAAGGGAAAACTCAACTACTGCCATGCTTCCACCAAGCATCACCAAACTCTTCATCACCCGCTTCCCCCACCGAACTCTTCGCTCATGCCCCAACACGTCAGCAGCAACCAGCAAGCAGCCAAAGGCAATCAGCAGCACCAAGCATGCAAGCAGCAAGAGACCAAGCAGCAGCAGGTACTGAGGAGACGGGTGGAGTTGAACCCGCGGGGGGGGGGGTTAAAGCCTGATAAATCAGGTATCTGCACTCAGGTCCTCGGCTCCCACCCTCCTTGCTAAAGCAAGACAGACTCCAGCTAGCTACAGCTAGCTTTCGTGACAAGAAGCCCAATCTTTCTCCTTGGCACAACATTTCCCGAGTCAGCATCACAGAGTGCTTCTTTTCTTTCTTCACTTTGGAGCTTTTGGTGGACACCGAAGTGAGAAAAGCCGACAATTATATAAACAGTATTGACCATTATTCCATTGCGTAATTTGAAGAACAGGAGCTTGCAGCGACACAAAACATTAAGACCCGCTTGAAGTCCCAAGCAAATGAGGCTTCTGCATGAACCAACCAGCTCCTAGTGTGTTCCGTCTTTAGACGATTGATGGTGTGAGTCTGTGAGTATCTACCTTTAACATGTTCTTGGCACAATCAAAGGGTAGAACGCTCCAAGAAGCCATCCCACCGTTGAGGCCAAGCATCGAGGTACTCCAACGGGTGACTGGCTTCAGGACCAAACCACTTCGTCAGCTGCTTCAACAAAACTTGACGTCGCTCATCCTGGCGTTTCAACTCGCAGTTTGCAGGTTACAAAACGCTGTCCGAGAGCAGTCAACCAAATCTCCAGCCACTTTGAGTTCCACATCTTTGCATTCGATTCAATGGCGGCTGGGGGGGGGCAACATTCAAGTTCAGGCGAGATACTTTTGAAGTGTGGACTGAATTCACATGACCTGTTACTTTGGCGATACCTCGAACTCACATAGGCGCCAAATGGTGCCAATGCCGGGATGGCAGATTAATCGGTGGTCGAATGCAATTCCACCAGAAACGAAGTCTGCCTGAGTCCGCAAACTCCAAGTACGCGCAGGTGAACCATTGAGAAAGCACACCAACATGTGGCAATCACCTTGGCTCGCATTGTTGTTACGGCACACAAACTCTGAATCCAAAACAGGAAACCCTTCAGGAACCTGTCTTGTGGCCAGTTTTATAGTTTAAAGTGACCTGGCCTCATAGTCGCAGCCCTTCGGTGGCCTTTACACGTTCCCAGCGAGGGGCGGGCCGCCTAACCGTCAAAACCTGACAGTCAAACCCAATTCAGTGATTCATCCCACGAAGAACCGCCCCGTGAGTAAGAAACAATACATTTACAATCATTTACAGTACAGTATGTTGTTTGAGCAAAGCAGCACCCTTGCAAAAAGCGCCTGCCATGTGTTTTTGCGCATGTTTTGTACGTAGATGTTGTTTCTATGAGGATGATGTTGCATACTCTGTGTGGGCGTGTGTCTCTGCGTTGATCACGTCGCTTTGGGGATCTCGCGTCGGTGTTGTAGAGTTGGACTCTAGTTCTGTCCAGTGGGGGTGGGGGGGTGTTGCGAGGGGTATTATCATTCATTGTGGGGAAGCAGTGCGCATGCTCCTGGAACCTCTGAGACAGCTCTGGATTAGAGAAACTAAGCATGGAGACGTCAACCCGGCTTAGGCTTTGTATAAACCTAGATTAGGACGACCTTTCCACAAACACTGAAACAGACATGATTCAAATGACTGGAAAAAACAACATACCACTGCAACAAATACTCCAACAACAACACTGGGTCAGGGCGTGATCTTGTTTCTCCTTACAAGGGGAATAAGTTTAGCAATACAGCAGAAGGGCATCAAGCCTTCAACCATGCCAGAATACCAGACTGCAAGAAATTGCGAACCGATGCAAAAGATCTGCAAGCGGGATAGTGTAAGAAGTCTTCTCGTCCGTGCCAGCCCAAACAACATGATCTGCAACAAAGTGGCCGACACAATGATCATAGCAATTGAAACAAGGCTCATCATCAGTTGCTTCAGCAACTACCTGGTATCGCCACATCATTGGGGTGCAAGGAGCGGAAATGCTGGAGTGTTCAAGCCAGTGGTCTCATTGGAGGAGCAGGGACGCTACTAGGGGCTCCTGGCCTTACTATTAGGAACAAGAAGCTACTAGGCTCCTGGCATCGCTACTCGGAGCAGGGACGCTACTAGAAGGACCCTCATGCTGCTGCCGCAGCGTATGGCAGCAGCATGATGGTGGATGCGGCGCTGTTTACCAAGCAACAAAGCGTCAGCTTCATCGTGCAGCGTGCCACGGTATTTCCCCGAAATCAGGAAAGAACAATGGTTCGTTGCTACATTTATATATAATCATATATATATATATAAAATCTACCTGTAGACACGTGTGCATGTCCATTACCAAACAAACTAATTAAATGCTATCAATGAACCAACTCTTTCAGTTGGCAAAAAAAGGGGGATGAAGCAAGGTCCCACCCGTCTCGTGCCTCTCCACTGAAGCCATTTAGCCGCCAAAAAGGCCTCCCATACCGGAAAACCTTGGATGTGACCAACTCATACTGGAAACACAGCCAGAAAACCACAGCCTTGCTGAAAGGCCCAAAAAACATCGAGTCTTGGACCCAGGCGGGGCAAACATAAAATGGCCGAGAAGCAGCCTTGATAATGCACCCAATAAACACAGATGTGTGCAATGCAGCTCGTGAGGACGGGAGGGCAGGCGCAAATTTGACGTTCCCCAACTGCTTCGGAGGAGTGGCGAAAACGCACCTGTTGCCAAAGGGCCGAGCATGTGTAGCAATCAAACCGCTGGATAAAACTTTTCAAGTCCTTACAGAACAAGATCAAAACGGCGTTCTACTTCAAACAAACACTCTGCAACATTGAGGCGCTGCCGAAGTCCAAGGTTGCACTGCACAGTATAGTAAACTCTTCAGGGCACAGGCCTTACATTCAAAGTTATCTTTCAAGCGCTTTGTCGTGGAATACCAGCGCCTTCAACAAGTTTGGCACACAGCTTCGCTGTGGCAACAAAAAGTTTGGATCAATCTGGGATGTTGGTCCTGACACACAAGGCTGGAGGTATCCCAAGCCACCCAAGGGAGGAAGGTTTAAACTGTAGGTCCTGATACACTATCAGCCGCACAAGGGCGCCCCACAGCGTGTGGAAAAAGACGCTTGGGCGCCAAAGTTGCGTGGCCTGCCCTGTCACTGCGAAGGATTTGTCTGGATGTTTCTGAGTTGGCACATCATGACCAAGCCTGGGGCTCACAAACCTGTCATCTTGACTGTCGCGAGATGGCCTAGAGGCCTAGAGCTAGATCTGGAAAAAAGTCCCCATTACAGTCACTGCACAACCTTCCTGTTTTTTTTCCCACGTCGACCTCCTACAGCAGGTCGCAAACAATACAACAAAGTCAGTATGAATCCAACATTCCAGGAAGTGTCCAAGTTTGGGGCGTGACTGGGCAAGGATCTACTGCACCCCGGCATTTTGACAATTCCCTGGAAAGCGGGTCAATCTTCGCTGGCTGGATACCAGGCAAGAAGAACCAAGCCGATACCCAATGCACCAAACCCATACCCATACACGGCGCACAACAGAATGGCCATACACGGAGAGATGGTGTTTATATGTGTTTATGTAGCCAAGACTGAATGAAAGAAGCATACTAATCGACAATCAATTCTCAAGCTTTGCCGACCTGGCTTAATCATGAGAAACATAGGGACACAATGTGACATAGTGGGAACATGTAAGAATGCTACAGGGAAAATCACTTGCATGATCTGCCTATACCTGTCTTGCTGTAATCTTACGTCTTACATGAATCATCACACTCACAATTAAAACGATGAACCATAGCTTCTTTGTTACTAGTAGTAAGGCACTTGTTACTACTAGCGTGGCACCTGTTACTGCTGAACCCGCCTCAAACATCGAAAGCTCTTCGATTCGCCACATGCCACCCAAACGCCATCCGCCTCCCGCGGACTCGACGGTCATAGATTCTGATTCCGGTCGTGGATAGCTCGGGAGCTACTTTTGGATCTAATTGGTCTTGCAACACCGAATGGCTCTTGCGCCCTTCTGTTCACATGGTTTCATGGCGCAAACATGTCCATCCCAGGACGAGTTGGAGATAGCATGAAAAAGAGTCAGGCTTCTAGCATCCACAAGCTCTAATCTGACAAACATATGTGGAAAGAGCATCTTTTCCTATATGTATCTATATGTACAAGTCTTAGATGGTCTTAGGCTAAGGGAAAAAACAAACTTGCAAAACGCAAGATTGCTACTCAATTACTGGGCCTCCGTGGTGACAGACGTAACCTTGCAGTTGAATTCCAGTTTGCCTGTCCATCCAGCCAGGGTTCGAAGCGGTTGGTGCGCAAGAGAGATGGGGGGGGGGAGAGAGAGAGAGAGAGAGAGATATGACGGAATGATCTACATACGATCCTTGCACAGCGATTCACAGCATATGTCGTTCAAACACATCCAATTGCACAGGAAAGCAGAAGCAACCGCAGCAGCAGAAGCAACAGCAACGTCCACAAGGCTCTCTAATGGTTTAAGCACCCACATTTGGCAAACTCTATCTGTCTCTACCTTCAAACATGGTCATCGGATGATCAAATATGAAAAAGGAGTCCCTTCTCAACGTTTGGTCGGACAGTCGGACTCCTTTTGGTCTTCTGGCTTCCCATCTCATCGCTGCGGCGCTTCACACCACGCTTCAGCTGGACTTCACATGTCAAATGCCAAAGGCCAGACCGTAGCAGCGGAGTCCTAAAAGGGAAAAACCGAGTGACGAACCAAAATGAACCAAACACGTTTGAGAATTTGCCTTAAAACAATTCCCACTGGGTTGCATGCACCCTGAATAAAAAAGCGGTTGACAAAAGTTGTTCTGGAAAACCGACTCAAGCAGAAACAACTCAATCCTCGGCCCTGCCCTGTATAGGGGATGCTTTCTAAACTTGCAAATTAGGCCACATATGTTGTAGTGTGCCATATTGTCCATTCTGTGCGACATCGCACAGATCCAACCCTGTGTCCAACAGAGTCTAGCTGCTAGCTTGGTGGTTGTGGTGGCAGCAGTGGCAGCAGTTTCGGGAATCCAAGTCACCTTCCACATCCACATATTTCTTTAATCCACATGTCCTAAGTTATTGCAAGACCCGTGTCATTATTTTCCTCTCATCCTCCTTTCTTTAGTACACAAATACGGTCAGACTAAGTCGCATTCTCCGATTCTTCATGACTGGCAGCCGTTGTGTCCATGCTTGCTCCGATTGACTTGAACACATCTGAGGTGAGAAAAAAGTGAGGTCCTTGGTGATAGATGACGGAGATGAATCGACCAAAGGAATTGACCACTCACCGTCTCCCCCCGTCCATCATCAAGAACAAACTTCGGAATTGAAACCATGCATGCTTCTCGAAAACTCCTGCCGTGTTGCTAAAGGGGCAAGGAACTCAGGTAGTTTTCGAGCTACCGTTCTTTACAATATATGATCAAAGTGTTCAAGGGCTCCTGATGCCAGAAACTTGCCATTCACCCAGCTGCATGGGAAGTGAAACTGTTTCGCTGCCCCGCTTCGGACGGAAACCTGAGGTGTCGGACTCGTGTCGGCTTCACGTCGGCGAATCGGAAACAGCTACGACATTTCGTCAGTGTTCGTGACCCATGCGGCTGGCGAAGTCCGTGTAGGAATGACTCCAGACAAATAAAGTATTAGATATACACACAAATATACACATAAATAATGCAAAGCTGCTGGTAGAATCTGGTGAGCAGCGATCTTTTTTATTCGGCGTGTTTCTGTTCCTCACGTCTGCGTCGTCTTCAAGCCGTCTGCTCTGTCAGCTCAGTGACACAAAGAACGCCCGGGGCTGTTGTTGGGCAGGCGGCCACCTACGCGTAGCTTAAGAGCAATTGGAAGGGCAAGGCCTACCTCTGTAGCCCTTTTCCGCTTTTGGCCAAAACACATCAACAAACAACACACATATAATCTAGTGTAGTTAGTCTGATATCAAATGAGGCTCCATATGGGAGGTTCTCCGGGCGGAAACGGTGCAAGCAAACGTCAAACGAGTTGAAAACGCAGAACCTGCCTGTGTTTCTGATAAAGTGTGCATATGTTGATGCATTGAAAAAGGTGCTAAGAGAAGCGGATTATTTTTTTAAACGGAAAAAACCTCGTGACGAAGTCGAAGTCGAACACAGTGAAGCAAGATGTTGGAAATGGTTGTTTTCATCTCCCCAGTCAGGGTGTGGATTCATGGTTTTGCATATCGAATTTCATGTGGAAAAAAGACCTTCAACTATACTGCTGGCACCAATAAATTGGATGTGGTGCTTGATATATTGCAAACCACAGTACATTTGCACGGCTTGAAGCAAGCTGTATTTCTGATGGTCAGCCTTTTTTTTTGGCAAAAAAGTGTTCCTGTCTAGCAGCATGTGATATGGAGTGTGTATTCATCTCACCAGGCAGGGTGTAGTTTCAAGATGTGTCAATACCCTCCCACCCCCCGCCCCACTTTAATCACACGACTAATCGATGACAATGTGGTGATGTCGATGACAATGCTGTGATGTTGACATGGTTACTTCTAGGATTGCTGAAGTTCCTGGAGAACCCCCCGTATAGAGCCTCAAAGGATTCTGGACATGTGGCTCCAAAAAAAGGGCCCACAAACCTACTGTTAGTGTCAAAGAGTCTTGATTGAGCCATAGCGATACTGGAAGTATTGAAGAAAACTATTCTACTGTGGCTTGCCTACATTTAATTTGCCTACAACCTTCTGCTTGTCAACTCTGCCTCGTTCTGTGGGCTCTGCTCCGCAGCGTTCCAAGCCAATGGGCCGATGATGGAGCCAAACCTTTCCACCGGCAGATGGCAAACGCACATCCATGCACCATGCTGAATATGGTAACTATGTGAGCCGTGAGAATGATGATGGGGTCTGGGACTCCAAATCCCTTGGACTCAATTCGTTTTGTGTGTGTGTGTGTGTCACGCCACTGGTGTATTGGTAATTAGATCCAATTTTCAAGAGGGTTTTTCATGGTGTTCCTGTGAAGGAACATTCACCAGCAACGCCAGGCGTTCACCACGGCTGTGCTCCAACACGCCAGGAACACCATGAAGCAGTTGGCCGCCTGAGATCGCTCGATGGCCGGTGTCTTGGTTGGGGACATGCCATGATGGCCCTGGCGAGTCACGACATTCTGAAAGGAAGTCCGAGCAGATCGATAAATTGTCTCTACCCATAAAGTGTTGCTACGCTTTTCACGTCCTGCTAGGATCAAATTGAGTGGCTGAAGGCCACGTGCAAGGCCTTCTGTGGGAATGCCACAAAGGCATCACTTTGCCGCCGCCTGTGAGACTTGCCAAACGCAGCCGTACCCAGGATAAAGTATGATAAAATACACTTCTTTCTTCCAAGACAATGCAAGAATGACAAGCTATCACTATCAATTATAGTGCCATGACATGCCATGACCTTTTTATGTCTTGCAGTCAGTCCATGTTCGATGGTTCTCCCTTTCTTCTGCCTCAAACGTGGCTCATGATAGAGCGGCCCGTCTTCACTCATCTGAAGTGTAGGTTGACTGAAAACCATCAGTGGAGCTCCTGAGAGCAATTCAAATCCTATGAAGCCTTCGTACCCCCCTAAAACCAAGCCATCTACCTGAAGATCAAACTAGAACGATGAAACGTGGCTTTGCGTGGTCTGGTCTGCCAACTGCATGTCAATATCTTTATGGAAGTGATTTCTGAATTTCATAAATTTTCTGAGAATGAAGCGGCCAACGCTAGCAGGAAGAGCACAAAATTGCAGATGAGATGGGTTAGGACCTCCAGCCAGTGGGTTTTCAGCGCTACAGTATTGCTAGGCATCTTTGCGGTTGCCTCTGTCTTCAATTTCTTGCAAGAGCTGCTTCTCCTTCAAAGTCGCTTTGATCCTATTCTGAGACGTACCGGCCATGGTGTCGTTCCCACTGAACTCTCTCAGGTCCTGCATCACTTAGATAAGTTGCTGTGCCAATGAGAGGATGCACCACAAGCTCACAGTCGTCCAGTAAGTCTTCATCCTACCAACAGGCAAGCACAAACGACAAATAACAACCAAGATCATCCAAAATCCTCGGCCATCTGGGGATATGTGTAAGTTCCATTTGATTGGGAACCGATCACCGGATCCCTGGACTTGTTCAGAGAAACCACAAACTATCGCAAACGGACAACATATCCAAACCCTTAAGAGGCAAGGTCTGCAAGTTTCCTACATCAGGCACCTCATGGTTTTGAGGTTTCCGTAGAGCGACCTCTCAGTCATCTCCCCTGCCAGTATCGGTTGCTCAAATTTCTTCTCTGTTTTTCTTTTTTTCTGAACTCTTGGTGCTCAAACCTTTGTAGTTTGAGAAAGGCAACGTTATCTTGCTAAGGGTTCGAACACTAAAAAAAAAAAATCTGCGGTCTGCGGCATTTCAAGTCCAAGCAAAGTTCAGCTGATTATTGTTTGGGGGTGGGATTTTAGGAACCCCTTGTCTTGCGCAAATAGGTCAGTTTTGTTGGTTTATGCACCATCACCTCTGTGCTTAGTTTGCACGTCCTATATTGAATCAGCTTGCTGGAGATCAGTAGAGATATATTTCCGGTGCGATGTTCTGCGAAGTCTCGCAACTGCGAATCTGACTGCACCATCCACTCCGGACACCATGGCCTTGTCGAAATGCCAGTTCATCCCACGCCGCTCCTTCTGTCGAAGGACTCACATCAATGAGCTGGACGCTAAATGGCCCAAACAGCCTACGTATACATAAATTTGCGCACAAAAACCGCAGCTGGAACTGCCCAGAATCGTCAGATCAATTCTTGCACTGCTCGGTTCAACGCGTGGCTCTTTGGCGAAACGAATTGGAATGGAAGTGAATGTGTTACTTGCCAAGCGCTGGTGACTTGCTGAGATCAACCCAACTCTACTTCCACAAAAACGCTGAACTTGCCGTGAGTTCTTGCCATACGAGGAATTTACAGTTACAGTGTACTATGATAGTTATATTAGATTATATTTTTGTATTCGAAGCGCTCAAGTCGATTGTGTATTGAATGTGTAGTCTAACTACCATATAAGCACATCATATTACTGCCCAAATCCGCCACAAACATTCATTATTCGTCCAAATCATCGAAAGCGACGACTTCTTCGCTATTGGCGAAAACACTTGCAGTGCTGCGTCAACGAAGTACATTAACCCCCAGCCCTTCCTTCCCCCCTCAGATAAACGGCGGCAGGCGTGAGGAAAAAGGACATCAAATGGGCCATGGTAAGACGAACAGTT